TGGATTGGAAAAAAGGTTAAGGTTATTTTATTTAGCCTATAAATATATAGCTATAGGTTGTAAAAGGGCGTTAGAAATATTCATGTGATATATACTGGAGAGATAGTGTTAGAGAGGGAAGGAGAAAAAGAAAGGAATGAGGAGAAAAACCTTATTGAGAGAAGATCAAGGAAGAAGAAGTTTAACTTTCGATCCGAAAGTTTAAGGCAAGTTCTTCTTCTATCTCTTTCCCTTTGATTCGTGTTTCTGTACATACCTAGGAAATTCCAGAATTTATTAAACACATAAAATTAAATAATTATACATGTTTAATTGGGTTAGAACATAGGTTTTATGGAATTGGTTCATATCTGTTCTTGTGTTATGAATTGATAAAATGCATGATTTTGATTTGATTTCTTATGTGAATTTTTACATGTTTAAATTATGTATTTTTCATATCTGTGGAATAATGGAACGTAGAAACATGCCTAGGATTCCTGAACATTAAATAGAGACTAGGTTTGGGTTTTAATAAATTTAAATAGACTCAATCATAATGATGCTTGCTATTTGAATGTTTTAAACAAACGAATGGATTTAATCTTTTAAAATATTTTAGCAATTGAGATTAAATGTGTAGGATGAATTGGATATAGAGAATCCTTATTTAACGGTATAATAAAATATCATCATGTATAAGATTCAGTTTGTGTAGGACGTATGATATAGGAAGTTTAAAGAAATAATAAGTCATTCCTATTATGTGATAACTTGATATCATATTTATCATAGTTATTTATGGAATGTTTGATGTATTTCCTTAATTGTTACATCAATTGTTGGATTGTGTGGTTTAATGCACCGGTATGGGACGGTGGCATTCTAGGGATGGATTAATATAATACCCCTAATTTTAAAAAGGATATTCCTGGTATTTAATGGTATTTAATTTATTATTTAAGTGCATTTTATTTGATTATGTGTCATTATTTTTTTTTATTCGGTGCTTAATTGTTTTCTTTTGTGGTCATTTAATTTATTTAAATGATATTTATTTTTAGTTATTTGATTGGAATTACTTGTTAGTGTTTTAATTATTTAATTGGCATTAATGGTTTAAGTGTAATTGGTTTAATTATTTGATTGGAATTACTTATTAATGTTTTAATTATTTAATTGGCATTAATGGTTTAAGTGTAATTGGTTTAGTTATTTGATTGGAATTACTTGTTAGTGTTTTAATTATTTAATTGACATTAATGGTTTAAGTGTAATTGGTTTAATTATTCTATGTGTGTCTTATTTTATGTGTGTCTTATTTGGTTTAATTGGGTTTGCTAATTATTATTTTGTTCAATTAGATTATTTGTTAAGTATTTAATGGTGAATAGGGTAATTAGGTAAATACATCTAACTAGGGTTTTAATTACAGTATAAATTAGGGTTTTATATTATAGCCGTCGTAGGTTTCTACGTTAATTGGATGGGCCGGTTAGGATTGTGAGTTGGACTTAAATGAATCTAGGGTTTAGGAAAACTCTATAAGTATAAGGTAGATGTCTGTGTAGGGTTTTTTAAACAAAGCACACGTTTTGTGGAAGTGGAGAAGGAAAAACGCAGTTTTTCACATTCTGCCAAGGTTTGATCAAAGCTCCGATCCCGCTTCGTCCGTGGTCCGATCGAGCTGAATTTTGGAAGAGAGGTTCACGACTCAGTGATGCACAATCTGAATGGTGGAGATCAGAGTTTGACCTCGGGAACAGTGATTTGTACTCGTGAACAGTAACTGGGTCGCACAGGTTTTTTCCATTCTGCCCAGATTTCATCAAACATCCGATCCTGCTTCGTCCATGGTCCGATCAAGCTGATTTTTGGAGGAGAGGTTCATGACTCAGTGACGCACAATCTGAACGGTGAAGATCAGAGTTTGACCTCGGGAACAGTGATTCGTACTCGAGAACAGTAACTGGGTTGCACAGGTTTTTTTTCCATTCTGCCCAGATTTCATCAAACATCCGATCCCGTTTCGTCTGTGGTTCAATCGAGCTGAAATTTGGAGGATAGGTTCATGACTCAGTGTTGCACAATCTGAACGGTGGAGATCAGATTTTGAGTTCGGGAATAGTGTTTCGTACCCGTGAACAGTAACCGGGTTTTGAAACTCGCCGGGATTTTTTAAGAAGACGACGTTGAAACTTTGAACAAAAGTTTCTGAGGCAAGATTCTATCCTTACTCTTTCCCTTAGGCTTCATACTCTTTGCACTCTTAAATGATTTCAGGATTAATGAAGATTAAACCAAACTAAAATGATATCTGTTTTGCTATGAAACTGGTAGTTACAGTAGTGTTGTATGCTTGTTCAACCTAGACTAAGCATGTTTGTGGATGCATTGTGGTTCTGTGGTTCACGTTTTTCCTTACCACTGCTAGTATAAATTATTGGAAGGATGGGTCTAGATGATAGCTATCTTAACTTCTGTAATAGCAACTGTTGGAACTTAAATACTATGAGGATTTGAGTTTAACACTAGATCGGTTTTGTGGAACACTATAATTTGGGCATGTCTACATACATACTGTGAATATTGTTTTGATGCTTACATTATCACAGTTAGTATCAACTATGGAGGTTAGGATTTTGTGATACATACCCTACATATCTGTATGTCATTTGTAAGGTATTAAATGGAAGTTTTAATTAATTCTATCTTTATATCAGACTAAAGGGAACAACTTAAATTGGGCATGTATATGTTGTTATTGTGACCCTGTTTATCAATGCTTATTTTATCACTGCTAACATTGAATGTTGGATGTTGGAATTTAGTTGATACATACTTGATTTATTGGTATTATTGACTACTGGAGGATTGGAAAGTAGGCACCGGTATGGGACGGTGGCATACTAAAGATGGGTTTGGTTTTTAAAACAATACCATTACCCACCTACTTGGAATAAGGATGGGATTAACTAAAAGTTAAGTCCCGTGGATTTGTGTTGTTATGGCAACTACTTGTTGAGCGGCAATACCAGAGATTTTGGATGGATTTTATATATATACTGTTATGGTGCCTCGGTATGAGCTTGAGCCTCAGGACCGATGGCTAGGGAGTGTATATGCATCGGGATGTGTAGCTGGCTACGATGGTTGGAGGTGTACCCTGTTTAGGTATAGGTACATATGCCCACTTCGTGTGCGTTTTAGCATGTTACCTCTATTCAGGTTGAGACCGGCCTGTAGTCCAGTGAGAGTCCTTTAGTGTGACTATATATATATTTACGGACTATTAGCTATTGTTGAATTGTTTAGGATGTACATGCGTATCGGGCCTCTGTTTGGATTGTAGTAGTATAGAACTTGTGCGTGGGCCTGACCCACTTCTATTTTTCAGGTACACGACAGTTCCAGGATTAGACGTGTTCTTGCTGAGCAGAGGTCTCTATTCACTCTTCCGACGATGTATGGCTCTCTCTATAGTTTTATTTCTGGACGTTTATTACAGTTGTTCTATCTTCCGTTTGGATGTTTAATAGGGGTCCACTAGAGATGGATTCCCAAGTTGTAAACTGATGGAGTTTTGGAGTTTGGGTTTGATGGATTTTAATAATTATAATATTTTGCGGATTCTATTTTTAGTTCCTTCCAGCTTTAATTTCATTTCTTAATTTATTTTGTATTCCGTGTTCATTATAAAATATTAATTGTTTGATATTCCCTACGGTTTAGGCCTGGGCCTGATCAACCCGTGTCTCGGATACGAGGGGTATCTCAATTAACTTATCAGTTAAGTCTTACCTATTTTATATAAGGGAATGGATTAACTAAAATGTTTAAATCCTACTTATATTTAAGTCAGGTCAGCTGAACAAGTTGAATGACTTATGGAGGATTAATTTATTATATAAGGGAATTGATTAACTAAAATGTTAAGTCCTACTTATATTCAAGTCAGGTCAGCTGAACAAGTTGAATGACTTATGGAGGATTAATTTATACTGGATAGGATGGTTACTAGATTATATATATATAAGTATGGTGCCATGATATGAGCTTGAATCTCAGGATCAATGGTTAGGGCGCGTATATCGCCAGGGATGTGTAGCTAGATATAGTGTAATTGTGTACCCTGGTAGGTCTAGGTACTCATGCCCACTATATGTGCGTTTTGCATGTTGCCTACTATTCAGGTTGAGACAACCCTATAGTCTAGTGAGGTTCATTTAGTGTGTATATATATATAAACACGGACTACTAGTTACTGTGGGATTGACTAGGATGTATACGTATATCGGATCTCTGCTTGGACTGTAGTAGAGTAGAACTTGTTTGTGGGCCTGACCCACCATTATTTTTTAGGTGTTCGTCACGAGTAGAGGTTGTTCGTGCTGAGCGGGGATCAGTCTACTTCATTCTGCCGATGCTACATAGGAGTTCCTTTATGATTCAGTTTCCTGTTTCAGATTACTGTCATTTGTTTAGTTTGAATTTTCTAGGGGTTCACATAGTATGGATTCCCGAGTTGTATTTTGGAGGATCAGTTGTATCAGAAGAGTTTATTAATTAATGGAAATATATTATGAGGTTTATTATTAGATTATTATTTTAGTTTCTTGTCAGCATTTTATTTATTCTTCTCTATTTTTTTGTACTCTGTGTTCGTTTATTATCAATTTGTTTTGATATCCTCGGGTATTCGGGCGTGGGCCTGGCCAACCCACATTCGGAAATTCGGGGGTATCACAGAACGGCTAATATTGATTTGGAATAACTCATAACATATCAGATTTTTTAGTCAAAACTCATATCACTAAATTGGTGATATTGTGTGTTTTGGTACTATAGCGGTGGAATTAAAACAAATTTTCGAATTTCTCAAAATAAATTTTCGTTACTAAATATGGTTCCGATTTTTACCTAAATCATTTCATAACAAAACGGTTGTTTTGGTATTAACAAAAAATATAACGCCTAAAACACATTGCACGAGCCCTTAGTCTACTGAGCATGATTTGGTACATGCCCTTGTTAGATGGAATTAGACTGAAACACCCTTCACTAACTTGAACACTGACAATGGAAATTCCAATGATATTACTTGATCCTGTTCTGAAATAGAAATTAAGAAGAAAAAAAATAATAATAATTCAGCTCTTCAGATAACAAGAATTGCATAAGATCATGGGGTAGCATCAGTGGACGGATCAACTGCCTTCTTATATGTGTACCACTTTGCAACCAAGAGATAGACTCCAAAGTTCAACACACTCAACACAGCCAAAAGCCAGAAAAAGTAGTGAAGATGACCATTGTTCAGATTATCTGGTATCCAACCAGGACTACCATGTCTGGTGGTGACATCCATAACAATATTAACGAGCAGCGTGCTCAAATAGTTCCCAAGCGCGGTGGTGGTGAGAGAGAGGGCTGAGCATAGGCTTCTCATGGCATCAGGAGCCTGTTCATAGAAGAACTCTAACTGCCCAATGAAAGTAAAAACCTCTGCACATCCTATGATGAAATATTGTGGGACTTGCCAAAATATGGACATTGGCACATGCTTGAGATCATAGTAGTTGTGCTCCGTGACCATTCTTAGCCTCACGAGCTCTAGAGTCCCGGCAGCCAACATAGCGAAGATGGAGATGACAAGGCCTATCGCGATTCGTTGAAGTTGTGTGAAACCATTTTTGTGGCCAGTGAACCTCCTTGCAAAAGGCACAATTACACGGTCATAGACCGGTACCCAAAAGATGACACTGATGGTGTCAAAGAGAGAGAGAGAAGCTGAAGGAATCTCGAAAGAACTGCCCATGTGAAGGTCCATGGTGTTGCCTTGCAGGACAAATAAGGTGCCCATTTGACTGTATACAGTAGTAAAGATTATGCCAGTGGCTAATATGGGGAGTAATCTAATAATTGACTTGAGCTCTTCAACCTGTGTCACAGTGCAGAGCCTCCAAGCATTGACAGAGCCTTTGATATGATCTGATCTAGTCTCCACAGCTGCCTTGTCAAAGAAACTGAGAAATGGAAATGAACATTATATAGTTGATACATAAAACAACCATATAGAACCATTTATTAGTAGTTCACAGACGTACACATGATCCAAATTAAGCAAGTACTGGTAATTTTTGGGCCAAAATTTCATAATTTAGTAGTTTTATGCTATACCTTAACTGTTTTGTATGGTCAAGCTTGCGGCTTCCTTTGACAGCAGATTCTTCTTCTGCAGTCTCATACAAAAGGGACTTGTCATTAGGCACTTTTACTCCAAATTTTCTGAAGGATGCCAATATCACTTGGCAGATTCGAGTCAGGGGACTCCCTCCAGGCCTCTGGTTCCTGTACAACCGTGTACCGGAGAAGAAACTCACCACGGCCACTGCCATTGCCACGGCAGGGATGCCAAAGCCCCAAGCCCAACCCACATTGGTTTGTATCCATACCAGCACGGTAGAAGCAACAAGTGCACCTATGTTGATTGAAAAATAGAACCAATTGAAGAAGGAGCTCTTGTCTTTCTTCTCAGCCTGATCCGAGTCATCAAATTGGTCCGCGCCAAATGATGATACACAAGGCTTAATTCCCCCAGTACCAAGAGCTATCATGTAGAGTCCCAGATAAAAAACCCCAGTTTGCATTCCTGTTGGATGACAAACATTTTTTCGGTCACATGATGGTTTCAGTCCATGAACAGATGCCGATAGTGTCAACACTGTCATCCCCTGTAACAATTAATTAAGAGGTCTTCAGTATATAGTACTAAGGAATATTGTGTATGGAATATAGAGATACAATCAGACAATACTTTTTGTTTGAATTAGACTTACAAAGACATAGATAATTGAGAAACTAGCAATTGTCCAGTATCTACCCAAGTAGGCATCGGCTAGGAAGGCACCAAGCAATGGTGTGACATAGCATGTGCCAGACCAGTTTGTGACACTAGTGACTGCTACAACACTGGTCTGGTTCAGTTGGGTTTTGAGATAATTGACTAGATTTGTGTTAATCCCATAGTATGCCAATCTTTCACAACATTCATTTCCTGCAAAAGTGTGGAGTTGTGTAAGCCTTATATATGCATCAATTTGGTTTGAAAAAGTGTTATGAAAAAGATAAGTGAACAGGACAAATTGTAATGGACATACCTAAAATATAAGGACATGCTTTCCAGGTTCCTGTTTGCTTCTTGATGGCAGGATTGTTATGGAAATCAGTTGTTCCATCCTTAGTGTATATTTCTTCTTCAGCCATGCTTGTTATAATGGATAGAATGCTTACTCAACCTCTTTTTAATGCAGTAATTTTGTCACCACTTTGCCATTTGATGCCTAAAATCAACGTACAGAACACAAGAGAGAGACACAATTGCATGTGTTTGAGGAAGGGAAGCCTTGAGCTTATAAGACCAGAGGACATTTCATTCTATTTATATGTGAAGAAACCAAGATTCTAGATACTTCAATTCAATACATATAGATACAGTGCATTAAATATAATGAAATCAAACCAGCCTATGGCCTAGTCTATTTCTTATTACATACTCTATAATGTACACACATGCACTCACCCATGTTCATCAATTTAATCCACAGAGCCTGCATTTAGGCTAGGCCTGCACTTGTTTGCTCATTGAAGAAGAGTAAATGAGACTGAATACGTCCAATCCAAAGGCCATAACTTATTAGATAAAGGAGGGCCATAACTCATAGAAACGGTTGTATCTCAGCCTTTGAATAGGGAAAATTTGATTCCTAAACAGATTTGTCAAACCTGATTATTTATAAGAATGATTTCTATCCTTTGATGTAGAGAATGGAACCCACCATTGAACTTATCCTCTTTGGACTAAACAAAATAATACGATTTAAATATCATTACTACTCTTGAATAAGTGCGTCTTACAGCAGGACCCACATTATCGAAGGATCAAATTGCGACAATTTCAATAACGACTTTCGCTAGCACTACTCTGGATGGATATGATTTATAAGTAGAGGCCGATTGTCTTAAAAAAGATTGGCATGAAAAATTTATTGAAGATTGATCACGAAGTCTTAGTTCTGAACAAGGTTGTTGCCATATCTAAAGCATTTTATCCTAGATTGAATGTACTAGGCATTGTTGTGCATGGCACACCCTTCTATCCAACCTTAAATGCATTGTTCAAGCAATGTCCTTTTCAGTGGGTGGTGGTAAGATTAATCATTAATGTCAATATATCAACAATTCAAGAGAGAGAGGTTAATAAATGTAAATTACAGAAGCTGCATAATTTTACGTGCTTTCTGGCACACTTTCTTAGAAAGAGGAGCTACTGCCAGAAACATAAAATTTTTCTCTGATTTGTTTTATTGTTTAACACTATTAATATGCCAGAAATACCATAAAGACACTGTACTTGCAATGGGCTGAGCTAATATGCCCTAGCCCATTAGGGATGGAATTGGAAGTTGCCCAATTAATTCATTCTTGGCAAAACATTATACTGCACTTGAAACAGTTTTGGACTTGACTAGTTAGAGACTTGATTTGTATTAATTCATGCGCAGGCCTGGCAAATCACAGATCTGGCCTTGTGTGTCTGCGCTTAACCTACCTGCTCTTATAACTCGGCCTCATCGCTTGGCGGATCAAGAACTAAGCCGACTCTGATATCATTTTGAATGTGCTGGACGCTTCTCCCACCCGAACTCGCAGCGTCTTGATTCTGAATCAAAAGATTTGGCCCCCTCTGATACCACAACTAAACACTTGCCATCTGATACAAAATATTAAACTGTCAGTTAGCTAGCGTTGTACGCATATATGTCCTATACATTTTCGATCCTAATCTAACGAGGTACAAACTCCTGTAACACTAACCTGGCCTATATTACAAGACTTCTCCTTCATGATACGTGGTTCTTGATGGCTCCATCTAAGCTACAAAATGAATCTAACAGCTGTCAAAATTAAAATGCAAATTGCATGCGTAAAAAAGGTCAAATTTGGCAGCAGAATCAATCCCTTGAAGCGCAAAAAAGATGGTTCTCACTCTTGACGTTGCAAGAGTAAAATGTATAGGTTCATTATCCATCCATATCATTATAAAGACACATCTTATAAGTAGGTCTGAGAGAGAGAGAGTATATAATATAAAAACAAAAAAGGGTGGTGGAGGTTTGATCGATCTAGCTAATTGAGATGGGATGATGAGTTGTTACTTGTTACAACCCACCGTTGGTTTAATCTTATCTTTAAAACAACGTATGATATATGATGTCCTGTTGGTTTAGCGTATGATCGATACATCACATTCAACGTATTTTTCAACCACATTCACTAATTAATTTGTTGGGTAACCTCATACTGTTTAACAATACCATGTATAAAGGATTAATAAAACTCGCTTTCCAGGTTAATAAGTTAATATAAATAACATTAAAAATTATTTCTCTATTTATTTTATTTAAAATATATTATACAATAAGGGGGCTTGATATATGGCATTGCACTTATGTCGGTCTACCGTATGATAAATTATACACGTATTTGGAAAAGAATAATGATTTTTCTTTCAAAATAGAGGATAAAATCATTATTGCACATCTAATGCAAATGCTGGATGTTGGGGTTTGTGACTCGAAATCAATGGGTGGGGGAAAGATGGATCGGTCCAATTTCTACTGACGGTCTAACTTGTCTGAAGATCGAGGTTCTGGGGAAATTGGACAAGTTCAAGTATTACGGATTGGTCCAACATGTGCGGGAACATGTCCCATTCCATTTTGAAATTTTGGAAACTTGTTAGTAAGGTTGAAGACTTGTGCTTCGTTTGGTAGGATGAAAGAAAATTGGATATAAGGGAGAGAAGAAGAAATGAAGGAGACATCCTTAGAGAAGATATTGTGTACTTCGTTCTTTTTGTTTGATTGAATGGAAGAGAAGAAAATGAGATAATACCTTAATTTGTTTGTTAGAAGAGAACGGAATAGAAAATATTAATTATAAGGAAAATTTTGTAATTTAAAAATATTTATAATAGTCTTGCATTTCTTTCTTTGTGTATTCCGTTATATTTGGAAGTAAGAAAAATTATGAAGGAGGAATAATGACTCATCCATCCTTTTTGCATCCTCTCTACCAGACGAAGTAATTTAATTTATTCATTTCGGTCTTCCCACCCATCTTCCTTCATTTCTACCAAATAAAACATTGTTTTTCCTTTACCAAACAGAACATTGGGGATAAAGATGCGACTTATTAGATAACTATTTTAGAATTGTAATTGATATAGTAACTTTTTATTAGACAAATGTGGAAATTTAAGTCCAAAAAAGAATTAGATTTGGATACACTATAAATAGAGATGGAGTTGAAGGATGAAGGTAGAGAGAAAAAAATATGTAGAGTTAGAAAATATAAATTTTGTAAGGAGAGAAAAGAATATATGTATTTAATATGTGTAAAAGTGAAAGTCTCAGAGTATGATAAGTGGATAAGAGGAGCCAGAGTAAGTGGAGTTGGGTGTTGTATATTCATATCTCTCGTAATCCTCTTATATGCTTGTGTGATTAATGTGTAATGATTATACTTCTCTCGTGTACTATGAAGGATGATTTATTTCTGAAGAACAATTGGCAACAGTTGGTTGGAGGATGCGTTAGCATTAAGGTGGGGTCCATGTTAATTTTATTTGGATTCATTCAACACATACTCATTAGCTGCCATTTTAACAATAAATAAATAAATAATAAAAAAATAAAATTACTCTTCACAAAATAACAATGGAGTTTTTTTTTTTTTTTTTTTTGAAATTTTATTTTCTTAATTTATTATTTTTCATATACAAAAAGATTTCAATTAATGTAATATTTTCAAAATTAAAAGTATCGTAAATTAATGATACTTTGACCACTTCTAAATTATAAGGTCAGTTGTGTAACTGAACAATGAGAGCTCTAATATTCATACCCATTAGTTGCCATTTTAATTTATTTTTTTTGAAATTTTATTTTCTTTATTTATTATTCTTCATATACAAAAAAAAATTTCAATTAATATAATATTTTTGATATTAAAGGAATCGTAACTTAATGATACTTTTTTAACTTTTAAATTATAAGATCTAAGTACTATATGTGCAAAAATAAGTGAGCAAAAATTTAGACAAACACCCAATAATAAAACAAGAATTTTTTTAGGAACGCTGTGTAACTGAACAATGGGAGCTCTAATATCCACAGAACTCGAAGCCAGTCGATTTCCATCACGTGGCAAAACAATCCTTTCCACTCTTTGAATTTGTTGCTTATTGTTTGGCTCTCATTATGCTTATTATTAATTTCAAGTGGTTTGGATTGTTTTGCCACGTGATGGGAGTCGTGGATGCTTCTGATTGGTTCTTAGTAATGTCAATAATAATAATAAAAAAAAACATAATAGAAGAAGTAATGTTTCAGTTTTATGTACGGGAAAGTATGATCAGACCCATTATGAATACGCCCATTTATTTTACAAATTAAATGTGAACAGTCAACGGCCAATCACTCTGCAAGTGTAGATTCCTAGGTTTTCAATTAAAATCTAAAGCAAAAGTATTGCCCAAATGCAGTAAAAACCAAAAATAGTCTAAATGCACATATACCAAAATCTAAACTCAAAAAAGTTGGCCAAATGGAGTCCAAAACCAAAATTAAGGAAAACAAATGAGTTTGACTTTATTTGTTTAGAACAGTTTTTTATTTTTTAAAAATTTAAAACTAAAAAGTTATACAGAATCTGTTTGGTTTACAAGAATCTACTTGGTTAGCTGAAAACTGTTTAATGAAAATTTAATTAAAAAAAAAAAGTTTCTTTTAGATAACTTGTTTTTAGAACAACAAATCAAACAAACCCTTAATTTTTATTGTATTATATCTAGCAAGTGGATTTTAAACTTTAACAAAATTTCAACCACACCCAGCCTAATTTCATATTATGGTCATATGGTGGTGGTGGTGGTGGTGTATCAAGTTTTACCAAGTAACTTCTGAAATTATGAAAGGTTAAAATATGAGCAATATATATATATATATATATATATATATATATATGTACAAGTGTTATGTTATTTTAGTGGTTGGATTACTCGTGTTACGTTGTTTTAGTGATTGGATTGCTCTTCGTGTCTGAAAGCATGAGCGGTGTTCGTCCCCTTTAACAAGTTGGATATGATTGCTTTGTTTTTTTTTGGTAATTATTATTTTTACATTATATATACTTATATTTGGAAAGTGCAAAAAGGTTTTTATATATATATATATATATATATATATATATATATATATATATTTGGTAAGTGATATACGCTTTTTATTAATTGCTGTAGAATAATTTGTCAAGTAGGTCAACCTAGAAGGCAGTTAACCATTCACATCCGAGTCCAGGTGACTTATACTGAGTTGCCCAAACTTGACGTACCCATCCTCACCAATGTGTTTTTTTTCTTTTTCATATTTTCGTCGAGGAATGTATTGAGTTGGACTAAATGTAACAATATGTTGGTAGATGTTTCAAGCAGCTGCATGACTAAGAACACGACCTAACTGGGAAAAGGAAAGCACCTATATAGAATATTGTGACAAATTGATACATATTAAACAATTTTCAAGTTATTACTATTTGGCATGTAGGACAAAATACTAGATCTTTAAACACTAACTTCAACCAACCAATTAAGTTTCTAATCAAACTACTAATCACATGTAAAAAGCTTAACGGATCAATAAGAAGCTAATTAATAACTTCGTTTCCAAAACTACATTAATCCATAGAAGAAAAAAAAAAACTACTTTATGTAACATGCAAGAAATCATTGAAAAAAACGTAGTTTAATTAAATAATTTCTTAAGAAATCTTGTATTTAAAGAATCTTTGCATCACCTAACTAAGGAAAAACGACATTGCAGCAGCCAGCAGTGACCTCAATTATCACCTATATAAGGTTGTGTTAGCCAGTCACACCAGAATGCAACAAGCTATCTAGAAAGACATTAGAAGTACTATCACCATAAACCACTTTTTTGTGAGAGACAAAACCACAGAGGAGATCGAAAAAGCAGGTGAAAAATGGAGTCCTGGATTCGAGTTTTGATCCTCGTGGCGTGCTTGTTTCCGGCAGTGGTTGAGTGCAGGGTTCGTCACTTCAAATTCAATGTAAGTGGATTAGGGTTGATATATATATGTAGCTATATATACACACATATAGTGATTGTGGAATGTGCATGCACAGCTATGCATGCATGGGCTTCTGAACTTTGGTCCGGGTTGTACCAATGTATATATTCTAATGTTAGTCTATTTATGTGCATGCATCAAATGATCTTCCTGGTCTTCTTTCATGCAAAATAAACCTTAGTGCATGTGTTCCCTATGATATGGCCGAGATCATAATTATGCTTCTAAAACCTCATATTGAACATTATCATCCTCATTGCCTCAATCACATGTGAATGAGGTCGACTTTACAAATTCTCTCTTTTCGATCTTTTCTATTACATGTCATTTCCCTGCTATATTTTACTTCGTTTTTATTAACTTTTATTTTTTTTATCATCCTCTCGTCTTTTACATTTTAATACATCTAGTCTTCTTCTTTTGATATGAGCTTCTCTAGGTCTCTTATTTTTTTAATTTATTTTCTTAAATGATTTTATTATACCAATATATATATATATGTATTACATTAACATAAACTGTACTAATTTACGGTATGCGTTCACGTTCATTATACATGTATATAAATTCATATGTATTAAAGAAACATTTGGTGATACAACGGACACTCTCCTTTGGCAGTTCGATGAACCTATGAGTTCGATATATATAGTATTTCAAATCCTTTGAAGTGCTGTTTTTGAACCACCTCATTAAAATTGAGTTCCTAAGCAATTCCATCCACTTGTAACCAACCGTCACAAAATATATCATCTGAGATCTTTTTGTCGCAGGCAAAATCATAAAATGGAATATAATTGAACAAGAAGTCAATATAAGTTACTAAAAATTATCCCCATTAGTTAACATGGTTGGTCCAAAGTGCAAATTAGTTGGAAAAAGATTTTAAAAATTGATTAATTTTAAAGGACATGGAAGGTAGAACAACAAATCAAATCGAGAGCCGTCTTTTTCCAACTATATGTGTATTTTATAGTTATCATTCTAATGCAACATGATCAAGTCCAATTTAACGTAGCTTTCATAACGTGCACAGGTGGTGATGCGGAACACTTCCCGATTGTGCTCAAGTAAGCCCATTGTCACTGTCAATGGACGCTTCCCAGGTCCTACTCTCTATGCCAGAGAAGATGATACAGTCCTTGTCAAGGTCGTTAACCATGTCACATACAATGTCTCTATTCACTGGTAAGATACCAAATTTACCATTTTGTCCCTGTAACTATAACAATTCACCTACAAAACCAACTTAACATGCAAAAATATGAGGTGCTAATATAGTAAATCAATTCACTATTCTGCCTCCAATCACCTATATTACCATTTTGCTTGAGTAAAGAAAAAGATTTAATTTAATTCTATTTTTTTTTTTTTTTTCTGGTGATAGGCATGGTATTAGGCAACTCCGAACAGGTTGGGCAGATGGTCCAGCATATATTACACAATGCCCGATCCAGCCGGGGCAAAGCTATGTCTACAACTTCACCATCACAGGCCAACGTGGGACACTTCTCTGGCATGCACATATTTCGTGGCTTAGAGCAACCGTCCACGGTGGCATAGTGGTGTTGCCCAAGCGTGGTGTGCCGTATCCATTTCCTAAACCCAACAAGGAAGTCGTTGTTATATTAGGTGAGCTCAAATTTTGAACTATATAATCACTTTTTCCTTGTTAAAAAGCCATACTATATATATAGAAATTGGGGGGCTTTGATCAATTGAAAATCACAAATTGGGTATTTGATTAATTTGATGATCATCTCTATTGCAGGTGAATGGTGGAAATCAGACACTGAAGCTGTGGTCAATGAAGCCCTAAACTCGGGTTTGGCGCCAAATGTCTCAGATGCTCACACCATCAATGGCCATCCAGGATCCCTCTCCAATTGTTCTACACAAGGTACTTAGAAGTATCTGCTGAAATTTAGATTGTTCTTTTTCCAATTACCAGAATCGATGAGTCCTGTAATTTAATTTATTTGTTCTTACAATGATTTCCTTTTTCCTCTTCTAGAATTGCATGTTGCTACAAGTTGGCATGTTCTGTATTTCTCCATAATTTTTAGAAAATTTCTAGGAATGCTCATAATTCTATAGAAGTTAATAAACATTTCGAATGAATTGCTAACACAAAACTTAATTTGGGACTGTTTTTAATCTTGTAGATGGCTTCACTTTGAGTGTAGAAAGTGGCAAATCCTACATGCTACGAATCATCAACGCTGCGCTCAATGAAGAACTATTTTTCAAGATTGCAGGCCACAAGCTCACCATTGTTGAAGTTGACGCCGTCTACGTAAAACCCTTCAAAATTGACACAATTGTGATAGCCCCAGGCCAAACCACCAATGCCATCATCACAGCTGACCAAGGCTCCGGCAAGTACATGATTGCCGCCTCCCCATTCATGGACTCTCCTGTCGCTGTCGACAACTTGACAGCCACAGCCACATTGCACTACTCAGGCACACTTTCTAGCTCCCCTGCCACCCTCACAAACCCTCCTCCCCAAAATGCCACAGCAGTAGCCAACAATTTCATAACCTCTCTCAAAAGCCTTAACTCGAAAAATTTTCCAGCCAAAGTCCCACTAACTGTTGATCACTCCCTTTTCTTCACAGTTGGACTAGGGATTAACCCGTGCCCTACTTGCATAGCCGGTAATGGAAGCCGGGTTGTGGCTGGTATCAATAATGTCACCTTTGTCATGCCAACCACAGCTCTCCTTCAAGCACATTTCTTCAACATAAAAGGAGTTTTCACCACAGACTTTCCCGGGAATCCGCCTACCACTTTTAATTACACTGGCGCTCCACCGCAGACCTTACAGACCATAAATGGGACCAAAGTTTATAGGGTATCTTACAATGATACGGTTCAAGTTGTGCTTCAAGATACCGGTATCATAGCCCCTGAAAACCATCCAATCCATTTGCATGGCTTCAACTTCTTTGCTGTTGGTAGGGGACTAGGAAACTTCAATCCGAAAAACGATACTAAAAGTTTCAATCTTGTTGATCCTGTTGAGAGAAACACTATTGGGGTACCCTCCGGTGGATGGGTAGCGATTAGATTCCTAGCAGACAATCCAGGTAAACACCAGCGAACATATATATATATTTTACTCTATTAATCATTTTCCTGAGAAACTATTTTCTCAAGAAAGTTGATCAAATTATATATATAGTTTCTTATATGAATTTTTCTATTTTGTGCTATTGTAGGAGTTTGGTTCCTCCATTGCCATTTGGAAGTGCACACAACATGGGGACTGAAGATGGCATTCCTGGTGGACAATGGCAAAGGCCCTAACGAGTCACTTTTACCACCTCCGAGCGATCTTCCGAAATGTTAGGACAACCAAAAGGATCATATATAATTAATTATATAACTAAACAGATTGATCTCAAGAATACTAAAAGAAGAGATGGCAATACATCGTTATGAAGAAGAAAAAAGAGAGAAGGTAGAGCTAATAAAGAGGCAAAAAAAGGGTGGGGGGGAGTGACATAAGATCTGATTGTTTCTTGGTTGAGTAAAAGAAAAGAATTTGCTCAAGCCGATTTCAATAATTATGCAAACTGTAATTTTTTTGTGATCTCTATAAAAGTTCTGGTGAATTTTACATGTTCTAATGGCAAATCAATCTACAGCACATGAGCCATTTTGATATTTGATTTGGGAACTCAGAAAAAAAAAAAAAAACATTAATAATTTATTACATATTATTACGGTAATAACATAGTGAATAGCATTAATGATTTGTCCGCTTCGTAAACTATGTGACCTTTTTAATTGTTCGTGACGGACAATTAAAAAAGTACAAAATAAGTACCAATTTGTGATGGGTGATGGAATCACATTAATCGTGTGGGCCATTGATGATAATTGTATGCGTCTTTTTATCATGTAAAAATGGGATCTTTCTAAGTAGTAAGTAGTAGTACAACACAAACCACCAAATGAAAAAAAATTTGAAATCTTGACACTTCAAATTAACGTTTTGCTGGTGGGTATGCTCGCTCTTGGTGGGACTCTTGATACCGACTCCTCATCAGTTGAATTATGCCTTCTTAATTATTATTATTATTATTTTTTGATTTTATATAAAACTATTAGTTGACATGGTTCTTAGATATATAATTGGCCTTCCCATTTATGGTGTTTTGAATATATAACACCAGCACATGGTGTGACCTTCAAAACTTCAACACGTTTTGTATCTAATTAACCACCCTTTTAGTATAAGCAAATGGGTACTTTCGGTGTCTATACAAGAGAGTGCGTCCGTATTTACAATTAATTATATCTTACATTTATTTTATGGAGTCATATTATTTTATATTTATATTTAATCAATTGGTGTATCACGTCATTGATATTTCAAGAACATTAAAAAAAAAAAAAAAAAAATTCGAATCATTGAAAAATGAAATGATGGAATTCTTTGACCATGATAGCTTTCTTTCAATTGTTGGATCTCTTGATCCAATATATTTATTAGTAGATAAAGAATGTCCATATGGTACATCAAAAGTAGGAAAAAATAATTATGCTCATGTTTCAAAATCTGTCACTTGATACATACTGTCAATAAGTTGAGAGGTCGTGTACAGGCTCACACAGTGTGCGCGCTCATTTAGTCCCATTTCCTTACTTCTATTACTTATTTTTCTTTCAAAAGATTAATTATTCCCGAACGATTTATTTTCTTAAGGAAAAAGAATAATGCTACTCTATCTTTCACCGATTTTTTTTTTTTATTTACAAAATTACTTATAAATTCTGTAAAAATCATAAAAATGTCCTTATTTTTTTGTAAAAATTTTAAAAATACCTTCACTCAATTTATAATGGTACCCCATTATATATTTTTGTGTTTAAAGTCGCTCCCTCTCATATAATTCTTTGGTCCGTCACTAACTAGTCATACCACTTTTATTACTCAATTATGTTTTAACAAATCTAAAGATAGACAAGTCTTTGACTAGTATTTTAGGCCTAATTCATCATGTCAACCATTAACTTTCATGAAAAAAGGATGTTTTAGATTAAAATTTTAATCATGTGAAGTCAGGATAGATCATGGCTCAAACTTAAAATATTGAAAGTCTAATCCGAATGAGCACTTGAAATTTAATCCATAACCAGCTCGAAATAATTTGGGGCTTGACTATTAAATTAAGTACTTAAACTTTGACATGTATCAAAATTCAAACACAAGTAACTAGTTTGTCATTATTTATGCACTTTTTTTATTATTTTAAAAATGGTATTGTTCCATAGTAAATGACATATCATGAAAACAAATTTTTATTCTATATTTCCCAAAAAAAAAAAAAAAAAAAAAAAAAAAAAAAAAAAAAAGACACATGGTCTCTCTCTCAGCCATGGTCCCCTTTTGCCCAGATGAGTGGTTTCTCTAGTAATTTAATATGTTTTATAAGTCATACAAGTGCCCACATGAGCTGTTGCACTCAATCATATGAACTTTTCAAAAGAAATTAAAAAGAAGAATCTTCCCTTTGTGGAAGTTCTCAATTTATTTCAATATAAGCCCTCTGATTAACATCACCACAGGTTCAAATTTGAGAGACAAATAAAAAAAATTCAAAAGAAATTAAAAAGAAGAATCTTACCCTTTATGGAATTTCTCAATTTATTTCAATATAAGCCCTCTGATTAACATCACCACAGGTTCAAATTTGAGAGAGAAATAAAAAATTTTCAAAAGAAAATTACATACTTCATAAAAAAAAATGGAAAAGGGAAAAAAGAAAGAAAAAAGAAGTGAATATTAAGAAAAATTAATTGGAGAATTAAAGGAAAATTATGAATGTCTTTTCTGTTCACACCAGAGACTCTCTCTGCATGATGCACATGTGAGCCTAGTTTTTTGCACCCCATTGTTGTTACTTGTGTCCCATTACAACAACTTGGCACTGATTAAATTATAATAGAAAGAGTTGTTTGGGTTTGTTTATATTTCAGAGTGAAAATAAAGAAAGCAAAACAAAGAAATGGGATCAACCACTTGAATTGTTTACAAGTACCATAGCCAAACACTGTTCATTGTTTAAAAACAGTGTTTTTAAACGAAGCCTATTTTTCTTAATTAAGTATTTGTATAATAAAATGAAGAGAATATGAGACAAAAAAACACCGACCTCACTAGCACAGTACAAATATATATTCTATTTTGTAGTATTTTTATATTTCATTTGCATACTTTTCAGTTGTATATGTTATATTTTCTATTGGATAAATTCTAATAACGTTTCTGTTAGTGACAACATTTCTTTTTCCTTACTTTTTTTGTTAGTGACAACTTTGATATATCTAAAGAATTATATATGTACCCCTTTAATAAAGCTGCTTATCATTGAATCATTCTAAGTGTGCAATTATGAAATATATAGTGCGGCTGTGACTGGAGTTAGTGATTAACTTCTATATCTGAGGCATATAGAGAATGGGGATGTATAGTGGAAAAAAAGTTTAAAATAAAGGATTTCGCATGTAAAAATTAAGGCACCAAAAAAATTAAATTAATTCTCAACTAAATAAAATTATAATTTTAAATTATTTTTGTCACGGGACTCATCTTACGGGTTGCAATCACTCTCTCTTGAGACCTACCGTCTTTGTTGGCGTCCGTCCTCCTACATTACAATTACCCCTCTCCCGCTCATCATAATTATTTGGGACCCAACGTCGTCCTCGATGCCAATATTAATTCTCAACTAAACAATGTCATAATTTCAAATTATTTTTGTCACACGACTCTTCTTGCGAGTTACAATCACCCTTTCTTGAGACCCAACGTCTTAATTGACGTCACACGTCCTCCTACATTACAATTACCTCTCTTGAGAACTCTTATCCCGCTCGTCATAATTACTTAGGTCCTAACGTTCTCAGTATGAATTGTCTTTAATACTATTTATCACGCTTTGTCCGCACTTTATAAAAATTATTCACTTTGCACACTCCTCTTCTCATACTCACAATTTTATTAAAAAATACGTCTATAACTAACGAAATTTTCACTATAAGGCATGATTTAGACGGGCTAAGAACCACAAATCTTTTCTGGTCTTTGGACCACCTGAGGACTTTAGCAACAAACATTGCAGATACTAGATAGTACCATATCCATGTGGGACACCTGTCTGAAATTAAGCCAGGTCAACTTAATTAAATACTTGTTCTTTTATAAGCTAATTAATAGCTACCTTGCTAGTGATTTCATGGTCTGTACTTTGTACTGCAAACTAGGAGACTCTTAATCCCTCTTTCCTATGTGCGTGGTCAGTGGTAACAACCTTTCCCAACTTATTTTAATGCACCATTCTTTTTGTTATCACCAATAGAACAAAGAACTTCAATGTAATTAATCCCTTTAAAATGTCATATAGGCACTTTTTAAATTTATTACAAGTGACTTTGACAATACATCTATGTTAAAAATTAGAATTGGAATCTAGTGCAAAAAACACTCTTAAAATATTATTACAATACATATCACATTTTTTATGCGCAAAAAATACTCTTAAAATTTTAATTTGGGACAAATAAGTCCCTATAACAAATTTAAACCTTAATTTGACTAAATTATTTTTATTGAACTATTTTATAAAATATATAAAAATAAATAATTTTGTAAAATGATCAAAAAGAACACTATTGGAAGACGCCCCTCACATGCAAAAAAACACCCTTAAAGTTTCAATTTAGTGCAAATGGGCCTCTCTGACATATTTAAACTCTAAGTTGATTAAATTACCCTTATTGAACCATTTTATAAAAATAAATAATTTAAAAAATGACTGAAAATGACATTATTAGAGAACGCCGACATGGACAAGTAAAGATAAAAATAAAAAATAAAAATGAAAGTATAAAAGAAAAGTAAAGATAAAAATAGAAAATAGAAATTAAAATTTAAAAAAAAAAAGTATAAAAAAAGCAAAGAAAACGAAAATAAAGTGAAAACTGAAGAAAACAAATTTGCTCCAAATTCCGAAAATCAGGGTACACTTATATTGAGATTTTTTTTTTTTTTTTTTTTTTTTTTAACAGTGTTGGTAGGAAAAATAAAATAAAATAAAGAAAAAAAAAATTGTATAAAATATTAAATTGAAATCTCAACAAATTCAAATTCTTATTCTACAAATTTTCAAAGTTTCCAAAAAAAAATAAAAAAACAAAAAGTTTAGAGATATTCATAGAGAAAAAAGTTTTTTTTTTTTATTTTATTATTATTATTTTTTTAATGTGCACATAACACCCATATGCTATGAAATTAGTAACATATGTATACCTCCTTGGGCATGCCAAAACGGGTATTATATCGCTAATTTACGTCAGGAGATGTATTTTTGCACAACATAAAAAGATTAAAATATTTTTTTACTCACTTTTTTAAATAGGGATAAAAGTGCAATACAAAGTATACTCTGCACTTATCCCTAAGAATTGATACTAATCAATATATTAACTTTTTAGGATCATTTAATTTGAGTTTTTAACATGGCAAGCAAGAATTTGATACTGATAGAACTTCAAATTGTACATTGAGATGCTAAAATTTCAGTGCACTTGCCCCTGAAATTACTATCATCAAAACATGAAGTTTGGTGGAGAAAAGCCAACTTTTCCAACCCATGGGCTGCTCCATTAGCAGCTCTAGGGGGGGAAAAAAAATCCACTTGAAAATTTTGATATATTAAAACTGCGACACGAGGAGCATAAAATTGGCCATTGATAGCTCGAAGGATCGCAAGTGCATCTCAAACACTACTCGGTGAAAGCCTCTGCAAGGGCTAGAATTATTTGAATTGACAGGTAAATTTTTCAAACTATGTACAAAATCAACAAAAGTCGCTCAAAATGTTCCCAACTCAGCCAAAAGAACAAATACCCATTTGATAATCAAAATACCCTTTATATGAAATTACAAAAATAATCTAAACATTTTTTAAGAAATAAACACACCCAAATCAAATACTCATTCTGTGTGTGTGTGTGTGTGTGTCCAGAATCTTATTGCAAAAATTCTTGCACTTGTGCAATGTTGTACTTGCACCTGTGAAATATGTTTTTTCCTTTTAGAAAAATAGGTGTGCAATAATTGTTTCATATGTGCAATGTTGCAGCAGTGCAGTAAGATTCTGAATAGGGGGAGAGATTAGTGTTTAACATTATTATATATGGAACAATGGCCCCATATGCATCACTTTCAGAAATGACAGATTGTTCTTCTTTGCTTTTGATTGGGCAGCTCTCTCTCTCTCCCTCTGTTTGTTTGTGTGTGTGTAAAGGCCATATAATTAGGTGTTTTTGGGTACTTTCCTTTAGAAGCAGCCCCCACAAACACCATCCCACCCAATCACAACCCAACACCGTTTAACCTCTCTTACTATTCTACTATGTTTTTGCTCTGTTCCTGTTCATCTCTCTCTCTCTCCCCTACGACATAAGTACAAATTACTGGCATACCTATATGGATTCATTTCCTTACTCTTCGAATTCTCTTTGAAATTTCCTTCTCTTTTGCTTTAGCGTCCAACAAAACGAAGAACCAACTTTTTCCACTCTTTCCTCTCTAATTCCTCACAATTTCTCCATTTTATCTGTTTCTCTCAATTGGGTTCCTCCTCCTCTTAAACAATTTTGATTGTTTTTGCAGTTCACTTTCTCAAACATTTCTTTTCGTCGGTCTTTTGAGTCTCACTTTTTGATGTCTTCAAGTTATTACTCTTCTGTTCTTCGAAAGGTTTTTTCTCATTCTTAGTTTTTATGTTGTTTTGGATCTAAAACAGTGTCAAAGGTGTTTCATTGAGAAGCAAGATCTGGTTGTTTCTATTGTTTCTTGAATTCTACTTGGGTTTAGGAAAGTTGGGTCTTTCTTAGGTTCCTTATCTCATGCTTATGTCAAAAAAAGTTTCAGATTCCCTTCAAATGCTTCTTGATTTAATGCCTTTTTGGTCATAGAAACCTCCACTTCTCTGCATTTCCTCTCTGGGATTCTCCTTCAATGAAAATTATGAATTATATCACGCCCTTCTAGTTATGCCCTCCAACTGTACACTGTAATTACTATTCAGAAACAATGAATCAAGGAATGGAAGTTCTCCCTCCATCATCATATCTTTGGAATTCAAATTGGCCGTTCGAAGAAACCAAGAAGACGAAATGGACACCGGAAGAGAACAAGCAGTTCGAGAGGGCTCTTGCATTATTCGATCCGGATACTCCGGATAGATGGTATAAGGTTGCAGCCATGATCCCCGGCAAGACCGAGAGGGATGTGTTTGAGCAGTACAAGGAATTGGAAGAAGATATTAATGACATAGAGGCAGGGTTGATACCAATACCTGGATACACAACTAGTTCTTTCACATTGGAGTGGGTGAACGATCAAGGCTTTGATGGATTGAAACGGTTCTACAGTCCTGGTGGAAAGAGGGGCTCATCTGCCCGGCCTCCGGATCACGAAAGACGAAAAGGTGTGCCATGGACAGAGGAAGAGCACAGGTAACACTTGTTATAGGTTTGAACTTCTATGCTTTAGTGATTAATGTACTAGCATGGTTATAAGACCAAGTGGATTTTAGCATTAGAATCTCACATGCCAGCCTTGCTATATATGGTCCTGCATTGAAATTTATTTTCTTGCTGTGATATATAAATTGACATAAAGATGATATTTTTGCTATATTCTTACAACTTTTTATTTAGATGAACTGTGTACAATTGCATTCGTGAAAAGGTTTACTATCTAGTGTCTCTTTCCCTTGGTAAATATATAGTTGGATAGATGTTTTTGTATCCTTCTGTGGTTTGTGATTTGCATTGATGATTAAAACTTCAGGCAGTTCCTGATGGGTCTTAAAAAGTATGGTAAAGGGGACTGGAGAAATATTTCTCGCAAGTTCGTGACTACTAGGACCCCAACTCAGGTTGCTAGTCATGCTCAGAAGTACTTCATCAGGCAGCTTTCGGGTGGAAAGGATAAGAGGAGGTCCAGCATCCATGATATCACGACTGTCAATTTTACTGAAACTAAATCACCTTCACAAGATGATAATCGACGTCCTCCACCAAATCACTCTATCACAGTTAAGCAGCCACAGCAGCACTTGGATATGAATGGCATAACCAAAACACTATATGACTGGAATGCACCAAATGAAGGAGCCTCTATGGCTTTCAACCTGCCAAATACCAGGCTGATCCTGGCACCTCATCGTGGAACTTCTTCATATGGACTTAAGCTTCAGGAGCAAAATATGCAGAGAGGAACTCTTCATGGACCCCCTCTTCATGGACCCCAATTTGGACCGTATAATTTTTCAGATGCAATCCACACTGTCTAGGATAATTGAAGCAGAGATCTGGAGGTACTGGAAGGTAAAATTTATCTGTGACATTGGATGTCTTTGTCCCTGCTCTATAATAGTCTTGTGTGAATATGTTGATGAAGACTTTATTTGATATGATTGGACTATAAATAAATTACTTCACTTCATGGTTTTATGTTCATACTGTAGGCCATGAACCAGAAAGGAATGCTAATATAGGTGAAATTTGAGGTGTTTCTCACCTCAATGTTTTGTTGTGTCATACATGTTTTGGGAATTAGTAAGAACCAGAAGATATTTACAGATTAAATTTGTATGTGTTGATAATATTGCCATCTCATATCATAGTTTCTTTTATGTATGACCTTGAGGAAAATGTGCTTACTCGCGTTAAGTAAACTATGGAGCTTCCAACCTCAGCCTGTCAATAAAATTCAGGATGAGTTAGATAAGTTCCTTCTAAGGATAGACTCAGAGCTCTAATTTTCAGGCAAGAATGCTTCAGTCAAACTTTGTTACTACAATTGGTCATCATGAGATGTCATGAATCAATCAAACTAGAGTTTACCTTGAAACTTTCATTGTATTTCTTCCATTGCTTGGTGAAGTTTGTAAATTATTGTTTAGTATCTACCTTTTGGTAATAAAATGATTTGACCTTGTGTTTCACCATTTTCCTAATGTATTTATTTACTTTTGGAGATCTATATGTAGTTAGTCTTGAAGAGAAATGGAGGATAAATTAAAACTGTTATAACTTTATGGGGTGAACCATTCTTTTGGAAAGGAACATCTAATTACCTGGCATGGTTTGACACATTGAATCATTTTTGTGCTCTTTACGCGCATCATAAACTGAGTGGAAGAAGTTGAATTGGACAAAGGCAATGCCATCAGATGTAAATTCAAAATTTTCTGAGTCAGAATGCACTCTTTGAGTTGACATAAAACAATCTGAATGCTCATTTGCAAAGCCTGTTTGGTGTAACAAGACTTTTACCTTCCACCTTCCTTACTTGACAGTTTGATAACAGAACTTTAACCAAAACTCGGTCTATATAAGATTCCTTAACTTGCATCTTATGCTTCATTCCATCTTCTCTGTCTTTGTTCTCTATTTGAGGATGACAATTTATCTTTTCCACCGTCCTTGAATGAGTATTATAAGCTGAAGAAGATTCTATTTGACATTTCAGTCAAATTATTCAATGAAAGAAACAGGAATCTTACAGCAGTATAGCTGTTATTTCTTTTTTGTTTTTCTGTTTACTTGTTCATTAGTCGATATCTTTTTTTCTATATTTTCTTTTTCCTTTCCAAACCACTAGTCCTAGTGCTAAAGAGTCGCATCTTCGACAGATTCCCTTTACCAGTCATAAATGTTATCATGGTTTAGAGATTCTTAAGACCAATTAAATAGAAAATGATTAGGTCTAAGCATGCACCAAGTCCTATACTCTCTTTGTGACCCTGTTCAGGAAGAAAGGGTATCTAGCTTTGCCATTAACAAGATAATATAGTTTTTTACTTCACATCACAAAATGGCTGTAGGATTCTCCCTTCGAGTGATTAAGTATCATTGTGACCTTAAGTCTCCCATAGTAGTACTTCCAAAGCAAGAATCTTTTTCCTAATCAAGTTTAGTGCAGTACTAATCAAAGATCTAATCATTAACTGACAAGACAATATACCATTGTTTAGAAGTTAATTGTGCATATGTTGAGCTAAAGAATTGCAAAAATCAATATGAAACCCTTTGACCTATACTTCCAGGGAATGAAAATGATTGGCATGTCTCTAACCACTTCTAAAGCAGCCAGTTAAATATATTGGACGCGTGGCGCGCCTCCCACGCGTGCACGATGCACCAGTTTTATATCATTCTGCCTGCCATCTAATACCTTCCACCATCTCTCCATTAAGATTCCAACTAATTCTCTAGGTTAATCTAATTATGGTTTGAACAAAATCTCCAAGTGATTATAGTCTAGAATATCAGTAAAAAGTTGATTTTATAGTCTCTACTGTTCCATTTTGCACCTTTTCATTGTTGTTTGCTAATTGCTGGTACAAACACCTCATTATTGCTGCTGGAATCATCATAGAAAGCCTACTAGTGCCCACCAACATCACTTGCACATATTATTTTTGGTCCATCCCACCAAACAGAAAGATTCAAGGCAACATGAGCTATATGACCATTCCTATAATCTTTTCTGGTAAATGGTAAATATGGCCCACTTTACTTTTGAAAAAGATCACCTTTCTGCAAGTTGCACAAAAAGCACTTTGGCTACTTTATTCTAATTCTTTATATGCCTCTCAAGTATATTTAAGGCCACATATCTTGTCTCACAACCTCAATTTTGGTGTTTTATGCTTTTCTTTTTCTTCATTTAGATGTATTCTGATACCTTGCTTCAGAGTGATTAATTAACACACACACACACACACACACATATATGTGTGTGTATACACTCACACACACACAAAACACACATCAATAATGGTTGTAAATAAATTTCTACTACACACAAATAGAAAAGAGAACTAAAGAGAGAAAAAGTTCCAATGAGTGGCTCATGTGGATCTAAGTTATGTTTCTTTATGGTGCTTCCTTGTAGGACCACCGATGTCTGAGAATGATCTTAAGTGGGATCTTTTCTACATATCAAAGAAAAGAAACAGAAGTGGACAGGAGGAAGTAGATGTCTTATAAATCATCATGATCATTTGACATATCAATAATTTTCATATTAAGTCCATACTAATGGCTGCATTAATGAGATACAATATGTAGTAAATGGTAACAAACTCATATATGTTCTTAGAGGTGTTAACAATACCTAAAGCATATATTAGTTGCACAAAAATAGTAGCTGTCAGGAAATCAAAAGCCAATATTATGAGTTTTGATCTTGACTTGAGCTGCAAAGTTGATGATTTAATTGTCTTGTAAGCCCACGGGGTTGGCCTAGCAGGTGAGAACTTGGGCTCTGATGCCTCAAGAAGTATCAGGTCTCAGATTCAAATCTCTGGGTAAACAATTCCGTGGAGGGGGGTGTGTGAATATCAATTAGGGAAAAAAAAAATTTATTGTCTTGCTTCCCTTTATCATCACAAGTTCTAAAGGATGTTCTTCTACTCTTGTGGCATCAAGTTTGCTACTTGCAGAGGCTCTTTATCTATATTCTTCTGCTAAATTCTCAGTTATTTATTCTCTTCGCTCCCTGTCAGAATTATATTTATTTTCTTCTGCACGTGTGGTTCAAGTTGTTGATGTTTAGAAGAATGATAGTCAAACACTACTATAATTAGGGGGGAAAATTGAAAGATTTCAAAATCAGTTAATTAACGGTCGTGGATATTGGTGGCAAAGTTACCTTCTTTTATTTTCTTAACTGACCTCTGAAAATGTCACTAGGTTTCATGCATGCTCATATCTAATAAGAGCAATTTTCAACAAAACAAGGTTTAAACTCACCACAAACAGTTTGTGTTTCTGATACGTTGTTTGAACATGAAATCATGTTAAATGTTAGATTGCAAGTTTACCTATTTACCTACCATTTAGGTTTCTTACATATTACAAATTACCATATATGAGTACACCTACCGTATTAGTATATATAAGTTACTTGTTCATCAGAATCATCACTCATCTACCCCCAAACCTTTTCCTATATGGTTACTTGTTCATCACTTGCGCACCCCCAAGCCTTTTCGTATATGGTTACTTCTTCATCACTCACCCACCACCAAAACTTTTCATATATATAAGGAATAGTACTTTTATGACATCTCTTACATCAATTCAATATAATATTATTCTCTCTTTATTTTTATTTTTATTTTACGTTGAGAGAGCTCTCAGACTCCATGCAATACAGGACTTCCACGCCGCCCAGTCTCAGGAAGCAAAATTCGTAAATAAAATCAGCTCAAAACCTTCCACTGCTCTCTCTGCAGGGTCCGAAACTACATAGCAATTGGAAAAATGTTTTTCCACATGGTATTGAAGCGAAACATGCAACTCCACCCTCTCCACTTTGGCCGCGACCTCCGAGAAAAGCTTGTCGCCAAACTGATGAAGGATGTGGAGGGCACTTGCAGCGGTCGACACGGATTTGTGGTCGCGATTACCGGTATAGAGAACATCGGCAAATGATTATTCAAGACAGAACTGGGTTCGTGACCTTCCCTGTGAAGTACCAGTGCGTTGTATTTCGACCCTTTAAAGGGGAGATCTTAGAAGCTGTTGTTACTATGGTGAATAAGATGGGATTTTTTGCTGAAGCCGGGTCGGTCCAAATTTTTGTGTCCAATCATTTAATACCAGATGATATGGAGTTCCAATCTGGAGATATGCCTAACTACACGACTTCAGACGGATCAGTTAAGATTCAAAAGGACAGTGAAGTTGGATTAAAGATAATTGGAACTCGAGTGGATGCTACAGAAATTTTCTGCATGTGTACCATAAAAGATGATTTCCTGGGTGTGATCAGTGACCCTGGCGCAACTTCATAATGCCATCGAATAGCACGCAATGGGCATGCCTTGCTTGCTTAATTTTGTTTCAGAAATTCCAAGTAGTGTTGTTGGTGGCACTACATTCAATATCGTGCGACTAATATAAGAGTATTACTGTTACGTGTTAGTGTAAAGATTGCTTTGATATATGTTCCTGGCTAGGAAAAAGGAAAGCTGTTGGCCGAGTCTGGTTGCACTCCATATTGTATGAAGTTGAGCTATTCATGGTGTGAATGAAATGGGTAAACTTGTAATCTAACATTAAATTTCCTAGTACAGCAGACAATGCACAATCTTAGTTGAAGTTGAATTCAAACACATAACAGAGGACTGAAAACGAAAGATGGCACTCTCATTTTATATGCTTGTCATGAAATCCAGTGAAAAATTAGGCTCTCTTGTTTGTTTGTTTGGTTGTTCTATTTAGTACGTTTTATTTTACCAATAGTTCAACCTCTTTAATGGGTTTCATAAATGCTCAGGAACAAGCTCCACGGACCAAGTTATGGACTATTTGCTACTCTATATTGGATCCTCTGCTCACCGGCAACACACCTATATATATATATATATAAGTTGCTGGAAGGTGGAAACTTCAACAACAGGTTTTGTAAAATATTATTAGTATCTATTTAGAAGTTGCTTACTCCTTTTAGTAGATAGTGAGAACAGAATGAAGAAACTGTGACCTAATCCATGGTGTTCAAAAATTCAGTATCTTCCAAGTTAAATATAAGAAATGGTATGGACCAATTTATTTTTATTTTTTTTCGAATGATAAGAAAAAAAAAAAA